CCCAGGTTTTCTAATTTTGGGCCGATGACTCCTACAGTATGCCACAATGAGACTCAGTTTTTTGTTTGCTTTTATTTCAATATGTCATCAGATTTTAATCAATAAAGTTCAATTTAATGACTAGCCTCTATTTTTAGTTCTTGATTAATTTAATTTTCAAATAGATGATATATTTATATTGGTCAAAAATCTAAACACATGAAAGTGTTCATAAAATATATGTGGTCAAAATGAGATTAGATATTATCCTCAGATCATCTTTTATGATATTTTTTTTTCAGGAAATTTCCCTGTAGAGACAACCAGTTTGAAGCAAATGTTTCTCTCATTTTTTTTAATGCTCTTCCTATTTTAAAAATATAAGTAAATATAGACACAGTATGATTACCAGAGGGAAAGGGAAGGGCAGAGGAGGTAGAAGAGGTAAAGGGGAAATAAATGGTGATGGAAGGAGACTTGATTTGAGGTGGTGAACACATAATACAGTATACAGATGATGTGTTACAGAATTTTACACCTGAAGCCTATATAATTTTATTAACCAATGTCACCCCAATAAACTCAATTAAAAATTTTAAATTAAAAATAATAAAATAGCCTGGCTAGCGTGGCTCAGTGTTTGAGTATCGACCTATGAACCAGGAGGTCATGGTTCGATTCCTGGTCAGGGCACATACCCAAGTTTCAGGCTCAATCCCTGGTGGGGGCCTGTGGAGGCAATAGGAGCTGATCAGTAATTCTCTTTCATCATTGATGTTTCTATCTCTCTCTACCTCTCCCTTCTTCTCTGAAATCAATAAAAATACATTAAAAAAGTAAAATAGTTACCCATAATCTCATCTTCCAGGATTGCTATTTTTATTGTTTGCATATTAACATCTGCATGTATATTCATTCACATGATGCATATTATTCTGCTGTCTTTGCTCAATATTACATCATAAAGTACATATTTCAATAAAAGTGTTTCAAAAGCAGTTGGATAATATATTTTACAAGGCCATCATAACCCTGATACTAAAGCCTGATAGTGACATTATATAAAAAGAAAGCAGAAAGATATATTTTTAAAAAGTAGCAAATTGTCCTGGCGGGATAGCTCAGTTGATTAGAGCATTGTTCTGATACGCCAAGGTTGTGGGTTCGATACTCGGTCAGGGCACATACAAGAATCAACCAATGAATGCATAAGCAAGTGCAACAACAAATCAATGTTTCTCCCTCCCTCTTTTTTGCCCTCTCCCTTCCTCCCTCCTTCTCTTCTTCTCTCCTTCTCTCTGTCTAAATAAATAAAAAAATTTAAAAAATTAGCAAATTGCATCTAGTAATATATGAAAGGGATAATACATTATGACCAAGTGGGGCTTATCTCAGGAATGCAATATTGTTAAACACTTGAACATCAATCAGTATAATATGCCACATTGACAAAACAAATAAGAAAAGCCATATGATATTTCAGTAAATGTGGAAAAAGCATTTGACCAATTCAACATTCATTCATGAAAAAACTTTCAGCAAAATAGGAATAGAAGAAAACATCTTCTACCGGATATAGATGTGGTTAAAGTTAAGGGCCTTTGATGTGGAGACTGTCCTTTATTTCCGAGTGGGTCCAATTTAATCACATGAGTCCTTAAAGGTAGAAGAGGAAACCAAAAGGGTGGGTCAGAGAGAAGCAATATGAGGAGTCATTCAAAGCCATTATTGACTTTGAAGGTGGAGAAAGAGATCCATGAGTCAAAGAATGAGGCGACCTCTACAAGCTGGGAAGTGCCCTCAGCTTAGAGGCAGCAAGAAAGGGGGGACCCCGGTGTTACAGCCAGGAAGAGCTAAATCCTGTGAACAACCCCAACCAGCAGGAAATGGATTCTTCCCTAGAGCCTCTGAATAGAGAGCAGCTTGCTGAGACTTTGGTTTTAACCCCTTAAAACCTGCACTGCAACTCCAGAACTGGATGGGAGCAGATGTGTGCTGCTTCATGCTAAGTTTGTGGTGATTTGCAAATGGCAACAATGTAAAAACTAACGAAGCCTTCAACTTCTCAAAGCAGATAACTTTAGCAAATTAAATTTGTTAAGTATGGAATTGTAGATGGTTTGTTCATTCCATTTAATATTTGTTAAGTTCCTACTATGATAAGTTCAACTAAGTTCTTTTCCATAAGTAGCCATTTTAATGTGTTTAATGCATGTATTTATCATGTGTAGGTGTCAAAGTACAAAATATTTTTATGTGTACATATATTTTTAATGTACATAAATAGAATTGTGTTACAGAACTCATCCAGTTTTTTAGTTTTTCCTCTCAGAACTGCTAAGAGTTACCTCTGATGCTAACTGAACAACTTAGTGTTGCTGTTCAAACTGCTCCATTGTGTGCATCCACATTTTTTAAAATTATTTTTATTGATTTCAGAGAGGAAGGGAGAGGGAGAGAGAGATAGAAACATCAATGATGAGAGAGTATCATTGATTGGTTGCCTCCTGCATGCCCCCTACTGGAGATCAAGCCCACAACCCAGGCATGTGCCCTTGACTGGAATGGAACCTGGGACCCTTCAGTCCGAAGGCCGACGCTCTATCAATTGAGCCAAACCAGCTATGGCTGCATCCACATTTTACTTAACCAGTTCCGCAGAGATGGTCACCTGGACTGCAACACCACAAATGAGGAATATCTTTATATTATCTATCTATTACTGCATAATAAATTCTCCTTAAACTTAGCCATTTAAAACAACATTGTTTCACAGCTTTTAGGGTGAGGAATCTGGGTACAGCATAGCTTGGTGCCTCAGACTCAAGTGTCTCATGATGTTGTAGTTGAGTTTATCGCTGGGGCTGTGGTCTCATCTGAAGCCTCAATTAGGAAAGACCTGTTTCCTAGATTTCTCACTTGGCTTTTGGTGGGATTCAATTCCTCTAGGGTTGTTGGATGGGGGCCTCTGTTTCTCGCTGGCTGCTGACTGGAGGCCTCCCTTAATTCCAGGTGAACTTCTTCATATGTCAGCTCACAGCAAGGCAGCTGGCTTTCCTCAGATAAAGCAAATAGAAGAATGAGAGCATGCCCAGACAAGCCATCATCTGTTTGTAAGCTCGTATCTCAGAAGTGGCACCTTATCACTGTATTCGCTTTGTTAGAAGGGAGTCACCAGATCCAAGGGGAGGAAACTACACAAGATCATGAATATCAGGAAGTAGGGATTAGGGCCATTTAGGAAGTGTCTTCACAGTGAGGCATATTTCTGTGAATTTTTCTTCGGTGTGTATACGTATAGTGGGTTATAGGTTTTCTAAATGGTTAATACTCCCATGAGCAGTACATGAGGGCTTATGTGTCATCATATGCCCCCCACTCCTTTACATTTTCTAGGGCATAAAGGGATAGCGTATTGTTTTAAAGTGACTTTATATTTTCCATTCTTGTTTTCTAGTGGAGTTCTTGCCTCTTTTTGCCATTTGCAGGGATTGCTTATAACATTCTAGATAGTAGTTTTTTGTTTTTCCCTCCAATCTATCATCTATCTGTTAACTTTGTCCAAAGTTTCATTTGTTGAGCAATCAATCATTTTTAATCTTGATGTAATTAAATGCCTTTGTTTCTTGGCTTTGTGCTCTTAGGCTCTTATTTAAGAAGTCCTTTCTTATGCTGATGTTACAAATGTATCATTATACATTTTCTTCTATTAACTTTAGTTTTGCCATTCACATCTAAGTCTGTAATTCACCTGTAGTAGGTCTTTGATAGTAGGTAGTAAGTTAGGGACCCATCATTATTTTTCTTTATGAAATGGGCCCATATTTTCCTAGTACCATCTTCTGTACAATTTGTTTTTTCGCCATTATTTTCTGAATCCATCTTTATTATATATTGCTTCCATATATACACAGGTCTGACTATATATTTAATTCTCAATTGGGTTTCATTGGTTTATTTTTGTGTGCTGTTTTTATTACAACAGCAGTATTGCATGGCATTAGATCAATTGAATGGGCCTCTTGAGTTTTGTATACTTTGTATTGAGAAGATATTTCTGTCAGCACTATAATTCTGTCCTTAAAATATCTGGTAGAATTTAAGCTTGCCTAGTTCTAGCATTAAGTCATCTTTAATTTGTTTAATAAGCCCCATTTAAGTAGATAGTGTTTTTCTTTGGGCTTTCCATGAATATTTCAGTTCCATAAAATATTTTTATGTTCTTCTGGAGTTATTACTTTATTTTTGCTGTGTTGTTGAGATTTCTATTTTCCTGGGCTAACTGTTCCACATGATAATCGTGTTTAAATTTTTATAATAACTGAAGATTTCTTAATGCATTTATTCCTGTTTGTGCTCCTTCTCAGAAAAATTTTGTTTCCTTTTTATTTGATCTAAGATTTGTTTCTACCCTTGATCTTAGCCAAATGGCTGAGATGCGATAAGATTTGTTTCTAAAAGGGAATAATGATCTTGGGAAGGGACGAGAGTATTCCTTTCCAAACAAAATATGCATATAAAACAGGAATAATTTGTTTAGTGTTCATATTTAGCTGAACATGCAGAGTTGGCTTGAGAATGAGGGCACTAGAGACAGGAGTGCAGGACATGCCATTGTTCTCATTGTAAAGTGACTGTCAACTTGCAAAGGCATTGTTTTCTTTCCTACACTGATGTCTCTTCAGTTTTATAATCTGAATATTTGTTTCTGAGTTATAACTAAACAGAGTACTGCTGGAAATTGTTTCCATTATGCTCTAATAAATAGACTTGTCATTCAGTAGGAGATGGGAATGGGAAAATAGGGAAGTAATGGGATACCTGACCCAAGTGTAAGAGCTAATGACTGGGGAGCGGTTTCATATTTTTTTCTTAATTTACTTTTTATGTTAAACATTAGTATTTTTTTTATAATATAAACATGTTGAATATGTAGATTTGAGTTTTTAAATTCAGAGAAGAGCAATGTATTAACTGTTCCAAACTGATCCATTATTCTGTTTTGTTTTCTATTTCTCCAGAGACCTTACATATGAAATATCAGTGGAAGCTATATCAACAATGGTTGTTTTCCTTTCCTGTCAACTATATCACAAGGAAGTTTTGCGACAGAGCATTAGTCACAAGTATTTGATGCGAGGTCGATGGTATGTTTCTATTTTAAATGGAAGTGGGTGGGAGAAAGGCAGAGAGAGAGAGAGAGAGAGAGAGAGAGAGAGAGAGAGAAAGTGACCACCTCCCACACTCCCCCAACCAGAGCCGGATGGAGCCTTTAGCTAAGGTACGTGCCCTTGACTGGAACTGAACCCAAGATCCTCCAGTTTGAAGGCCAATGCTCCAACCACTGAGCCAAACCAGCCAAGGCTAAATTTGTCCAGGTTTTTAACAAAATAGTCATGGGGATGTAAAGTACAACATGGGGAATATAGTCAATAATATGGTAATAACTATATATGGTGCCAGGTGGGTACTGAAAATATTGGGGGGACGACTTTGTAAATTATACGGTTGTCTAACCACTGTGCTGTACACCTGAAAGTAATATAAAATAAAATTGAATGTCAACTATAAATGAATATTTAAAAAGTAAACAACAAAAAATAGGTTTGTCTATTTTTTTATTGTATAAATCTATATTTTTGGTCTTATCCCCTTAGTTTTTTTAAAATTTTTATTTATTGATTGATTTTTTAGAGAGAGAGAGAGAGTGAGTTTTGTAGTTCCACTTATTTATTGCATTTATTGGTTGATTTTTGTATGTGCCCTGACTGGGTATCTAACCCCAAACCTTGGCCTAAGCAACTGATGCTCTAACCAACTGAGCCGTCTGGCCGGGCCTCTTACCTTGGTATTATTTTATATCTCCCATCAGACACTCCTCTAGTTGTTCTGTCAGCACCTCAAACTCAGCACATAAGGAACCAGATTCTTCTTTTTGGTCCAAACTGTCCATCCTTCCTGCCCCCGTTACTCCCCAGCTCCATTGCTTTCTGTAGTGATTTCTTTGTAGAATTAAAACTTTGAAGTCATCTTTCTTCTCTATCATTCTCTATGTCTAAGCAGTCATCCAGTAATATTTGTTCATTGAAATTATTTTTGTGTCTTTCCCTCTTTACTAGTTCCACATAACCTTTTGACTGACTGTACCTACTTTAATTTAGTCAATACATCTTTATTGTATGCTAACCATGTGTTAGGCATGTTAGGATGTGGGGCTATACTCTGAACAGAAGCTTACAGTCTTCTAGTGGGTGGGGATGGGCGTAAATTAAATACACACACACACACACACACACACACACACACCTTCTATTGGTACAGTCTTCACAGAATTTTGGAATGTAAGACAAAGACAGAGTAGCTTTGATTAAAGTTCTCAGGGACTTTCATCCTCGTTAACTACCTTTGTTTTCTTCATGGCACCTTCACTGATAATAGGAAAAAGGCCTGAGCTTTGGCTCAAGAGTCTATTAAGAAATTTCCCTATATTGCAGGAACTGATCTATCACCAATTTGTGGACACACATCCCTTTTCACCTATTTTTTTTCTCCCTTCTCCTCATCTCATTACTTAGAAGCAAAGAGTGTAACGTTACAAAATCTATATACATACAGACATATTTTTGTATGCATGCACTAATTGAATAACTTCATACTTAAAAAGTATACTCTTTTATATGATTGCTTTTTAATTCTTGCTTTTCCCTGCTAATGCTATATTACTACCTCCCTTCAAGTGCCAGTTACTGTATTATATACTGAATTTATAATATCTCACCTGTTATACAGGTTACAAATAAGGTGAGTTCAGGAGTGGAAGTGATTGACCAATGATCTATGGCATAGTGAGGAGAAAGCCAGAGTTAAGCCTCAAGTCTGATGGTCTTCGCTATTATGTGACCATGCTAGACTTCTTTGAATTATGCTAATCTTTTGTATTACTAGATGATATAGAGTATTATTATATACAATCAGATGACTCCCATGAGTGTGATTGTCTTCTTTTTTCCTTCTGTGTAGTCTTCCATACACCAGCAAACTTGTGAAAACTCTCTTGTATAACTTCATCAGACAAGAAAAGCCCCCTCCCCCCGGCGCCCATGTTTTCCCGCAGCAGTCGGATGGGGGAGGGCTGCTGTATGGACTTGCCTCAGGCGTAGCAAGTAAGCCCTTTCTGACTTTTCAGCACTTCGATGTACAGATTGTTAATTAGCCATAAATAGTTCTGTCTCCCTTGGCTGCCACTATTACTAGTTATATTGGATCTGTGCAGCTGTGTAAATGTGACATACTGAAAGTGATTTAAAATACTAATTTTTGCATTCAGTGTTGTGAATGCATTTAAATATATGCAAATAATGAATAAATTGTTTACCTATTAAGGCACCATTTTTTAAGAAGAATGTTTATAAATACGCATTTTATATGAGTTCTAGCTGTACAATTCAGTTAAGCTCTTGGAAACTTTTTACTGCTTGTGCTTTATAAGGAAATCATTCTGTTTTAAGGACTTTATTGGTTAGGTTTTTATGTGGCTAATTGGGTATAGTTTTCTTATTGTAATAAGTGTTTCATTTGTTGATGATCAATTAGTATATTTTGAAGAGTTTTGTTATAAATTCAAAAATGGCACAAACGTGAGTTTTATCAGATTAGAAGCAAATTTTGTTAACTGTGGAAAGTCGTTTCCCACCAAAGCCTCATTTCTGCTTCACAGTGATCAAACCTAAGACTCTGGAAGTACCGAGTACCTCTGGTCCACCCCTTTGTTGGTGTGAAGGACCTATGACTCGAGAGGCTATATAAACGGAACTTTTGCTTTATTCTGAAGGAGAAACAAAAAGTAGGCTGACACTTTGGTAGTTGTGAGGTCTGCACAGAGGTGCTCTTACTAAACGTCTACTTAATTACATAGTGCAGAGTGCGGCTGTTTGGAGGAATTTTAAATGGAGCTGAGTTCCACAGCTGAATTGTGGTTGTAGCATCCTCGCCACACTCAGGGAGGAGCGTCAGTTTGATATGAAAATGTAGTTCTACAGTCGGTAACATTAGATAATGAGCCATGGGAGCCTCTTTGTGTAAAAGACCTCTCTGTTGAGTTTAGGAATTGATCTGTGAACCAGGTTTCTAGATTTGCCGTCCTTTGATTTCTTTTAATTATGAGTTGAGTTACATTTGTGATCATTCATGGCTTTGTCTTTGGTGCGGAGCAGGCTGCCTAGAATGCCAGGACCTGCAGGATTTTATTCTCCGAGTTCCTCTTACCCACTGCCTGCCTTGTGTCAGGTGAGGAGGCTGTACATGCTGGCTCATTCATGGCCATGAAGGCAGCATAGGAATGGCTTTTTGTGTCCCATGGGAAGACTTCATTAATACAGTAGTATTTGCTTTTTTAGATTATTAAACCGGTATAGGGATTTAAAGGTTGAGTATTTTGCAGTACTCCAATGTGGTTGGAGATTTTGGGGAGCAGACAGTATAAGGTCATTCATTGCTTTCTCCAAAGCAATGGCAAGACTTTGGAGGTTTTTTTAAAAAAAAGTAAACATAGATTCATGGGTGGTTTTGTTTTTTTTTGAAGTTGTGTCATCAGAATGAAGTCCAGGATGGCATCTGGTGTCATCAGCATCAGGTGCCAAAACACTTCTAAATTTTAGATCTGCTCCCACCTAGCTAGCAGTATATTGGAAGGAAGTTCCTTAATTTTCCTACCTTCCAAGTTCCTTGTCTTTCAAATGAGAAAGTTGGGATAGATGATCTGAGATTATTTCCATATAATTTTCAATGATCTATGGTCTTTTAAAATTTACTACCTAGTTAAAGGCATTAAAATAGTTAGAATTTTTAGTGTGCTATAGTTACAGCACATTTTATATAGCTTTCTTCCTAAATCTTTACAAAGCTATTCGTGCAGAACTATAAAACATGATGGAGTGATTATTGTTATTTCACAGCGTGCAGTCAAAGGGTTATAAAAACAACAAAAGGACATTCTCTTAAAAAACTAAGCTGTGTATTGTGGGTAAAATGTAAATTTGATCACAGTATGTAATTTGAATAAAGCCACATTCTAGGAAAGTCTGTCAAACTGACAAAGACTTTGACTTTAGTTCTCAGTAATCACTTTTGATGATTTTTTGGTTGGTAGTTAAGGAATTTTCCTACTTTAAAAAAGTGTTTTTAAATTTTTTTTATTGGGTTTTAGAGAGAGAGGAAGGAGAGACAGAGAGAGAAGCATTGATTGGTTGCCGCTCATATGCACCCTGACTGGGGATTGAACCCACAACTTGGGCATGTGCCCTGACCGGGAATTGAACCGTCAACCTTTTAGTGCAGGGGATGACCCTCAACCAGCGGAACCACACTGGCCAGGGCAGAATTTTCTTACTTTAATATTGGAGGTTCACGGACAAGGGACCTGAGCCCATCAGGGTCCTTCCTCAGAGGGGAAAGGTCGGCCTCACGAGCCCACGAGAGGAAAGGGGGAGGCCAGGCCTGGGTCTTAGGGGTAGGCGGGCGCCATGGGGTGCGGGGCTCCTGGCACGCACGCACACGGGGATGGACTCTCATCAGGGTGGTCCTCCCGTGAGATACGGGGAAGCGCTCAGGTCAGCGGGAACCAGAGAGAATGGGCGCTCAGCCCTGGCTCGTTGGCTCAGTGGTTAGAGCATCGGCCAGAGCACCCCTGGGTCTCAGGGGCGATTCCCGGTCAAGGGCACGTTATCTGGGCTGCATGTGCCCGGACGGGGAATCCTACCGTGACCTGCCACTGGTTCATAGGTCGACGTTCAACCAGGGACCCACGCCGGCCGGGCTAAAGCCTGTTTCCTAATCAGGTTCCTTGCTGAGTTGGAAACGGTTCTTTACCCACAGGGGTGGGCAAACGGAGGTGTGGACAGTAGTGACGGGGATGCCAGGCACAGTTTACCCCTGTTATGATGTATGCACAGTCGCACTGTTTGCCTCCCAACAGTAAGCCTGCTTTTGCCAACTGCTCTACGTTGGATGTTAACGTCTCATCGGACGTATAGTTTGCAAATATTTTCCCTCTGGGCGTGGGTTGGATGCGCAGGCGTCTTTAACTGCGACGACGTGGCGCCCGAAGAACCCTCTGTGCCTTGTCCCCTGGCTTCTGTGGCCGTGGCCAACCTGTCACATGTGATCAAGTCCTGCCCTGTGTTTTCTAAGACATTTGTGCTTTTCGCTTCAGTTCAGGGTTTTGAGTCACTGTGAGTTGATTTTTGTGTATGATGTCAGGCAAGGGGTCCCACTTCATTTATTGTTTTGTTTTTTTATTTTAATATTTTTTTTTATTGATTAGAGAGGAAGAGGGAGAGAGAGAGAGAGAGAGAATCATTGGTCGGCTGCCTCCTGCACGCCCCACACCAGGGATTGAGTCTGCAACCCGGGCATGTGCCCTGATTGGGCACATGTGACTGGGAATTGAACTGTGCATAGGTCGACACTCAACCACTGAGCCACACCGGCCGGGCTCCCTCCTCCTCTTTTTTAAAGCTTTATTTGGAAATAAAAGTCACACATACAGAAACGTTCCAAAAATAAAAATATTACAAAAAAGCTATATAGCTTTATTTAGATTGATTTGTTAACATTCTATCCCATTTGTTATGTATTTGTTCCTTCCCTTTCTTTTCTTTTATCATTCTGCACACACACACCCATGCACACTTCTTTTGAACCACTTGAGGGTAAGTTACATTCATCATGGCTCTTTACCCCTAAATACTTGAATGTGTACTTCCTAAAAGGTAACATCTCTTACACAACCACAGTATACTTATCAAGTTAGTCAATTTAACATTCAGCTATCCTTAAAAACAAATGAGGTAGGCATTTGCTTCTACCTCAGTAAAAATAAAGAATAGAGATTTCCCTCTATAGTTCAAAATCTCCTTTAGTAAGTATATAATGTCATTTGTGTTGCTCTTAAATTGAATTTTTACAATTAGGTTTTCTTGTGCCTGCGTGTACCAGTTCATCTATCTTAGACTAAACACTCCAGGATGCAGCATCTGTCCTTTCTGTTTATTACTGGCCTGCAGAACACAGTGGGTGCTTGGATAATGTTTGCTCAAAGTGTCACAAACACTTAGAGGGATTATTAATACTTCTTCATTACTGCCGGCAAGTCTTTTTGCAGTTAAGGAGAGTGGTGGAAATTAACTTGTCTAGAGTTTGTTCTTTTTTAAAAAGCGTTTTTACGTGTGTCCAGTGTGACTTGCTTCTTTAACTGAAAGCGGTTATATATATAAACCACTGGTAACATATAAAATACATGCCAACACGCCGCTATTCATAATCTTCAGCACAAGAAAAAATGGCTTTCTTCTCCTCTGTAGTTTGTTAGTTTAGAAATCCCTCTAATATGCTGAGAAAATGGCAAAATAATCAATTGCTATATTACTTTACTGTGTAGAAAAGAATGCTACAGTTTTCATTACTGTGGTTTTTTTAAGTGAATCATAGAATTCTAGGCTTGTAGAGATAATTGTAAAGGCCACACGGTGGCTCCCAGCATTAGCAGCGCCTCCTGGCATACTTTAAACAATGCATGTGCTTAGACTTTGGAATTTCTGAGTCATAAGGCATGAGGTGGGGCCGCCATACACATTTCCAGTAAGCATTCTAGAAGATGGTGATAAGGCTGGTCCGTTTCTGCACCACTCGGGTGCGGGCCCTTTCCTGTGCTGGAATCTGTTCTGCTGTGGGCCCATCATGGCAGGCACTTGAGCCAGTGCATTAATTACTGAGGAATACATGGTTTTGAGGCAGCTTTAAGGGTTCCACTGACCCCCTTCTATGTAAGATCTTAGTTTCTCTTACTGATTTCTGCACTGCTCTCTGTTGTTGATGAGGTCCAGTTTATCAGTCTGTTCTCTGGTCTGACCATGAGTACAGTTCTCCAGCATCAAATAGATTAGAACTGGAACCCCCCCCCCCCCAGCCCCCCATTCTGGACACTGTGCTTTTTCATTAATCTAGTCAAAATGCCCGTTGGCTCTCTTGGCAGATAATATTCAGTTATTAGTGAACTTACTGTTCCTTTTGCCATAGCATTTTTGTCCTATCGTTTCTCCCTCAGGTTTTATGTACACAGGTACAGGCCTTTCAGTGTATTTCAGTTAGCAGAAATTATGTTAGC